AAAAAAAACCAAACAAACAAAGAAACAAACAAACAAAAAAAAACAGAAGGCAAAAAATTAACACACGGAATAGAAATTTAACATGATGGCAAGTGGGTATATGTGAGCTCTCAGAGTGAGAGATTCATGATGTCCAACAAGGGACAGCTCTCCAAGAATCACAAAGTTGAGAGTTCCAATGAAGTCTGCTGCTGTGCTATCCTAAAGTGCAATCTCTGCTGATTGTTGAGCCTGCCAGGCTGCTGTACTTGTCAGGAGACACATGGCTCAAGGAGATGGACAAAGCACAAGACAGTGCCCAACCCTCCCCTGCTTTCTGCCTGCATTTAGGTGAGACCAGCACCAGCTGGCAGTGCTGAGGGGGCAAGGCAATGCCTGGAGGACACAGTGCTCTGGGTCTGAGAGCAGTTGAGAAATTGGAGGAGAGAAAGCACACTTTGTGCAAACTGTTGCATGCTACCAGGCCACCACACTCCCTAGCCACAGTATACCTAAAGGCACCCATTGCCTGTGTAGTGCACGGCCACGGTTTTCAATGTGAATGCAGGAGTTTGGGCAACTCCACAGCAAGGCTTGGAAAGGCAAGACATCTTGCCCTACAAGCAACATCCTCTGCTGCCTGTGCACAACAGAGCTGCCACATTCCCTAGGTACCATGCGCATGCTCTCTGTTAAGCTCACAACACAGTATTGCTGGGATAGAGCATGAAAAGAGTCCTAAAGGGCAGGAATAGCTGGCGTTTGCTATTTGCAAACCTGAGGGTGTCATTACTTTGCTGAGGGTGCAAGGACTGCCAGGCTGGCCATGTTGCAGTTGTTTCCTGGTGAGCATAGGCCTGGAGACTTCCACTGACAAAGGCAAGCATCTGAGGGGGGCAAAGCTGGTGGCCCACGGTTACACTTACCCGTAGGTTACTCCCAGGCAGAGTAGCCACTCCATCTTTCCACTCCAGCACACGGACTGTATTGCAAGTCTGCACCCCACTTATCTGAGGGATGACAGTGGCTGTGATGGGCTCATTCCCTGCCCCTCTCTCTGGCCTCTCAGCCCCTGCGCTTCTCTGTGGCTCCCGGGGGAATCGCTGGATTTCTAAGGTGCTGGCAGGAAGGTTGATGGTAGTGGCATTTGCTTGAGGTGAGAAAAAAAGAAACAAACAAGCAGAGACATACAGAAAACTCTTCACAGTTGCAAACAAGACCCAGCGGCAAGACAGCAGCCTCAAAAAACACAAAGTGATGAAGAGGAGACGGTCTCTCAGCCATGGTCTAAGTGTTGCAGACTAAAGTAAATAAGCAGGGAATAAAACTCAATGGGGTTTGCAGCCAGCGGAAGCAGTATGTAGGCCAGGGCCTCTCTACAGTGGGAACTAAGACTCAGGGAGCAGGAAAAAATGGGAGATTTGCTTAAAAAGCACACCTGTGATCTCACCTAAATGCTAATGTAGGCACATCCAGGCTGGTATGGGCTTTCTCTGCACATGTCCTGAAAGACACTGGTGAGCTGGGACAGACCAGTCCTAATAACTGCAGCTCAAGCAGCTACATACACTGCCAAGCAGGTATCCAAGCTCAGCCCACTGTGCTGCAATGGGAACAGCAGCCCTCAAACATCAGGGCTTCAGTTTAAGGCTTAGGAGACTTTGATCTGCCACAGAGATGGTGACAGCCTCACAGCTTTGCTTCCTTGGGCTTATAAGGAGCACAGACACAAACAAGTAAGAGAGAAGCAATCCACGGTGAGAAGGCTGTGAAGGCAGCAGATACAGAGAACAATCCCACGTACCTGGTATGATAAAGGCAGTCGTTGGCAGGTGGGTGCTCTGCACAGTGCTCTCAGTGGTGACCACGTGGACGCTGACCTCTCCAGCAGGATTCCCCTTTGTGCTTCTCACAACTTCCATCTCTGCTCTGCTGTCCATCACCTTGCCCAGGCACAGAGCATAAAACTGGAAGTAAGGAAGAAATCAAGTTGGGCAGTATAAACTTGACAAAGGTGTGAGAAAGGGACTGTGTAGGATGGTCCATTTTCACCAACCCATAGCAGGACACTCTTTAAGACATATTAAAGCACCACTTAGTGCCACTGAACCCAAAAGAGAACAGCATGACAATCACTGCTGGTACCAACACGATCGAGGAAAGCCTTTTCTGTGAGATCCAGCTCAGAGCCTGCAAACATCAAGTTTTCCAAGTTTTTTTTTTTTTTTTTTTTTTTTAACATGGCACCATCAAAGAAGGAATGAGCTTGGCAGGTCCCACCACAAGCAGTAGCTGTTCCTGTCTCTCTCCGGGGCTTCTACCACTGTGATGGGACTTGTAACTGTTGGTTTGGGATCCCTTACCCAGGAGAAGATAGAGGTCCCTGACCTCCCCTTTTCAGTTCCCCATCTGGGCAGTTACTCGTGATTTTTGTGATTTCCTTCTAACTGGTTATAGGACTGCATTTCACAAGTGATGTGTTAAGCATGAGGAGGGCATGAAGTTCATCACATACAACTTTTTTGTTTGTTTGTTTGTTTCCCATACACTCAGCAATTGTAACTTGTTTAGCAAGGAAGGAGCAGGTCAGAGAAAGCATGTTCTGCATAGTACTTAATAGGCCTTCTGACTAGCCTCACCTGGGGTGTGCATCCACACTGTCCATAGGGCCAGGAGTTCTATTTAAGCTCAGCCTGCTGCCTTTAGTTCCCGCTTGAGCTAGGCTAGAATAATAATGGTTCTCAGTTCAGTTGTGCCTATGGACTCTGGATCCAGATACCACCTCCCCAGCTTGACCCTGAATCCGCCTGGCAATTCTTGGATCTAACACCGAGCTGTGAACTGACTTCTTGGCTTGATCTTGGACAGTGGAGGACGGACGCCTGTCTGGCAAGGCTCTTGTTCCGTCAGCTGCATGATTTCCCTTGGCTCCCCATCCCTGAGGGGGCAGTCCTGACAGAAAGAACAGCAACAACAGAAAGGGAGTGCTAGACTAAGTCTTATTTGCAAAGAGAAGGCATGAACAACATTATCTTCTGGTGTTCATAGAGCACAAGCAAAAGAAAATTTTTAAAATTGCTCCTGTCCCCTCCCCCTCCCCCAAAAAACAATGTAAACATATAATTATAATCCTAAAACAGCAAGATCATTGGATCCATTCAAGGAAGATAAATCTCTCTCTCTCCCTCTCTTTATATCTAGATATACTATCACCTCAGTGCTGTTGTTTCCAGAAACTGCTAGAAACTGAGGATATTGGGAAAGGTTTCACATTTGCCCTGTGTCCACCCTTGAAGATGGGATTGTGGCGGAGCTGCCCTTTGGACTAGCTGGCTAGATCGTGCTCACATCCTGCTTACCTTACTGCAACCTGAATTTGAAAGAGAACATAGAAAATATAGAAAATAAAAAGCATATAGAAAATAAAAAGCATATAGAGAAGGGGAGCACTGCATTTATGGTCTGCTAAATACAAATATGCTAGGCCACAAAGTCCCAAATTTGGACTTTTGAACCCTGAGATAACAATAAAAGTTTTGTTTTTTTTTTTACAATAAGACTCAAGTGTGCAATGGTGGACTCAGTGAACTCATGTATAGGAAAGACTTACTTTGAGGGCCTTCTTCTTCTTTTCCAGAATGCTGTCAGATTTGTGATTGATTGGAAATATTTCATCTTCACATGATAAAGTCCTTTAATAGCGGCAACATCAGAAAGGCAGATTTAAGTAGCAGGACGACTGAGGGAAGTGTATCTCAGGCAGACACCCGACTCTAACTTAAAGCCCAAATGAAGCGGACAGCCCGTCTGTGTGTTAGGGATGCTCCCTAACAAACACACCAGGCACCAAACGACATTTCTAACCATTTAAACTAATTTCTAACAATTAAAAAATATTTAAATGGTATGTAGCCTTGATTCGAATTCTTGCAGAGCTACCTGCTGCTGATGATCCGACTGGTTCTCTTTTGCCTTAAAACCTGAGTAAACAGCATGAATTTGGATTTAAGACTGCACCATCATTACTCCTTAAGCTGTAAGAACTTAATAAATGAGATTTAGGAGTCACATATAGACAGTCTCTCTCCAGAAACCTCCCAGGAGAGGCCTTCTGCAACGTAGATTACATTTCTGCACTCCACTGCACACAGGCAACCCAGCTCGTCAAGGTCAGGAATTAGCTAAACGGAGCTCAGGGGAGGCTGGGGAACCTGTCCAGCCCACAGCCTTGTCCTCTTACTCAGTTCTGTCTCTGCTTCTCGGTGGCAAAGGGTCTGCGTTTCCTGAAGCACTTCTGGCCAATGCAGCATAGCCCTTATTGGGAAAAACTTTCTCCTAATGTTATGCTCAAGTTCCTGGGCACAGGTGGAGCACAAATCCAGCAAGCAGCCTTCCTGGCATGTGTCCTGCTCCATTATCTGAGAGAACAAAGACTTTCAAGCTCTGGACAAGATCAAAACTTGAAGTTACACACATTTCAAGCCACATTTTTCTTTATAAGATCAAGAGGGTGAGCTGGGCCTAAAACTTTTCCAAGACCGCTGACCTTCTTGTCCACTTGGGCCCACTGCTGGCTCATGTTCAGACAGCTGTTGACAAACACCCCCAGATCCCTTTTTGCCACACAGTTCTCCAGCCGAATACAAGTAATGAGAACACTGTTGGGGTGAACATGTAAGAACACAACTGCCACAGCTGAAACTTGGGGACATCCAGCTCTCCTCATTGCCTGCTGTGGTGCTGGTTGACAACTCACTATCAATGTTCCCAGCGTCAAGCAAAGCCTGTAATGCAGGATTTCTTATATTTCCCCAGCACAAACAACCTCAAACCCCAGAGTATCATCCTGATCATGGTGCTGCAAGCCTCAGGAGCTGCACTCACCAAGCAGAGATTGGCAAAGACCACTGAAGGCTGGTTCCTTCCCTATGGGGTAGGAGCGAGAATTGTCATTGAAGATGGCGTTTGTAGATCATAGAATCATAAGATCATCGTGGTTTTCCAGCATGTTTCCCGCATCTCCGTGTCTTTATTGTAGTGAGCGGCCTAAAACTGAACACAGTATTCAAGGTGCGGCCTCACCACCGCCGAGTACAGGCAGACATTCACTTCCCTAGTCCTGCTGGCTACACTGATCCTGGTATAAGCCAGGATGCCACGGGCCTTCTCGGCCACCCGGGCCCACTGCTGGCTCATGTTGAGCCAGCTGTCGACCAGCACCCACAGATTCTTTTCTGTCACAGAGCTCTGCAGCCGCCCTGTCCCAAGCAGGTAGCGCTGCATGAGGTTGTTGGGACCAAGTGCAGGACCTGGCACTTGGCCTTGTTGAACTTCATACAGTTGGCCTCAGCCCATCGATCCACTCTGTCCAGGTCCCTCTGCAGAACCTTCCTACCCTCAAGCAGATTAACTCTTCCTTCCATCTTGGTGTTATCTGAAAATTTGCTGAAGGGTGCACTCAATCCCATCAACCAGATGGTCAATAAAAATACTCAAGAGGACTGGACCCAACACTGATCCCTGGGGAACACCATTCATGATTGGTCACCAGTTGGATTTAACTCCACTCACCACCACTCTCCGGACCCAGCCATCCAGCTGGTTTCTCACCCAGCGAGAGTACACCTGTCTAAGTCATGAGCTGCCAGCTTTTCCACTGGTGAACGGGGTGGGTGCCCTGGTTACGAAAAGTGAAGTAGCCTGGGAGAGAGGAAGACTTGCTCCAGGTAGAGGAAGATTGGGGCAGAGAGCAATTAGGGCAACTTGATACCAACAAATACATGGACCCTGATGGGATGCACCCCAGAGTGCTGCGTGAGCTGGTGGATGTTATTGCTAAGACGCTCACCAGAATCTGCAAAAGGTGCTGGAGAATGGGAGAGGTGCCTGAGGACTGGAAGAAAGCCAATGTCACGCTAGTCTTCACAAAGGACAAGAAGGAGGACCCAGGCAACTACAGGCCACTCAGTCTCACCTCCATCCCTGGGAAAGTGATGGAGCAGCTCATCCTGGCTTTTGTCTCCAAGTGCATGGAGGACAAGAAGATGCTCAGGAGTAGCCAGCATGGATTCATCAAGTGCAAATCATGCTGGACTAACCCGATAGCCTTCTATGATGGAATGACTAGATGGGTAGACGAGGGGAGAGCAGTGGATGTCATCTATCTAGACTTCAGCAAGGCTTTTGACACCATCCTCACAGCATCCTCCTGGGCAAGCTCCAGAGGTGTGGGATAGATGAGTGGATGGTGAGGTGGATTGAGAACTGGCTGCATGGCAGAGCTCAGAGGGTGGTGACCAGTGGGACGGAGTGCGGTTGTAGGCCTGTGGTTAGTGGTGTCCTTCAGGGGTCAGTCCTCGGTCCAGTCCTGTTCAATTTATTCATCAACAACCTGGATGAAGGCATGGAATGCCCCCCTCAGCAAGTTTGCTGACGATACCAAACTGGGAGGAGTAGCTGATACCTCAGAGAGTTGTGCTGCCATCCAGAGGGACCTGGACAGACTGGACAACTGTTCGGTCAGAAATCTCATGAAGTTCAACAAGGGCAAGGGCAGGGTCCTGCACCTGGGGAGGAATAACCCCAGACACCAGGACAGCCTGGGGACTGACCTGCTGGAGAGCAGCTCTGTTGAGAAGGACCTGGGCCTCATGATGGATGACAAGCTGACCATGGGGCAGCAGTGTGCCCTCATGGCCAAGAAGGCCAATGGGATCATGGGGTGCATTAAGAAGAGCGTCTCCAGCAGGTCGAGTTTCTTCTGCTCATACTCATAGGTATGAGTATGGGACTCAAGACACTCATAGGTGTCTTCCAGCTCAGGGGGTCAAGTTCCCTGAGGATAACTGATTTGGGAGGTTAAAGACTGACATCACAGTTTTCAAAATGATGGCTGTTCTAATCTCGACTGCTGCTACATGATGAACCAAAAATGTGTTTATTTTCTATTTTTTTT